ATCCCCTACATGCATTATCATTCAACAGTATTTACTCCTATTCCCTGTTTGTTTTCTGTTTTTTTGATGTACACCAAAACACTCAGGAATATATATAATCAGTCAAACAAACAAAGGGCACATTCTGCAAGGCTGCTCCCATCCCCCGCTGCCAGCACACAGCCCCTCTCCCTCCATGAGTCTAGAGTCCCCAGTGCTCCGTCTCTCCAAGCCATCTCTGCCTCCATCTCTGGTGTCGCTGCTTCTCTGAATAGGGTCCTGCACTCCGCTCCCGCTCTTCTCCCTTTATGATCGCAGGGTCCTCTGCCCCTGGACTGCAAGATCAACCACTCCCCTATTTTTGTTATAAAACATCTACCTTTACATTAACAACAATCAGTTCTGATAACAATTACTCACTATTGAACCGCAGGTCTTATCCCCATCTCCCTTCACCAGCCCTATCTAGACAGGTTGAAGAAAACCACTCAGTGGAGATTCTACTTTGCTCCACACCATTTGAAACTAAACTCCCTCTTGAAAACTTGTAAGTCAGTCACTTTGTGCCATTATAGCTCCCCACTTTAGGAAGCCAATGTCTAAGTTGCCCATCCCTGTCAACCTTGTATACAGAGGTGGTGGGAATGATCCTTGCTGTAAAGATTTGTTCCCTCTTTCAAGCTACTACATCTGTTAAGTATAGGTCAAGTTCATTAAATTGTAGCATATTATACTTTTTTTCTCTCTTTTTTCTTCCTCTAGTCAAGTTCTGATCGTCCAGCCATTGAAGCTAGGTCACATAGGTACCATCTGCAAGTATGGGAGTTTCTTGTGCATCTCTCCTCAGTTCATATCAGCTGGACACTTCACTCTCCTCTGTAGCTATGTCCCTGTCCATGGGCTCAGGAGTCCCAGGTCTCACCATACTGCTGGCCAACCAGGTCTCACTCCAGGTTGACGGCAGTCTATTGAATGTGGTCGGACTCAGCCCACATCTTCACTGCTACTTTTCCCCCACTTCCCCTTATCTGTAAACCAACATTGTCACCAGCAAGATTACATGCCTGCTTGTGTATTTCCTTCGAGTTTCAGTCTTGGAAGGGGGTTTGCCCTGAGGGGACTTGATTGCTTGCCTTGATGGCTCCCAGCTTGCTTGTTCTTGTAGTAGTCAATCAGACCGTCATTTTTGTTTTTTCCTGCTGGACTTTTTTTTCATTAAGTATCTTCTGCTCCAGGGTGGTCTGCTTGTCTTTTCAAGTGGAAATTTCCCACCTCAGAAGATTCTGGATGGGGATCAGGATTCCATCTAAAGTCTTACACTCTATAAAGGCTCCACAGGGAGCCTCCTTCACTGGGTAAGTTCTAGCCCCATTTTTGGCATTCCAGTTATAGGCTGAAGACAGACTTACAAGCTTTCTATTGCTTTGTTTCTAGCTATTCCTTTCTCTCACACTTAAGTGTCTATTTTACAATAGTAGGCAAGGGAAACCAAGATTCCTAAGAAGTCAAGCATCTTAATATTATTTCCCCTCTTTTACCCATTCAGACTGTGCCTCAATCCCTGTATCAGAGCTCTGTAGTTCCAAGGTTGAGTATATATCACTGTTTACCTCTGTCCCATTTAGCCCATGCAAACCTGTGTAAATGTTCTGCCTTGTTCTTCAATTCCCTTCCTACTTGTGTATTGCTCCTTCTGGCCCCCACACACCTAAACTATCGTGTTTGTCTATTCCCTACCCCATGCTCTACCTTCCCCTCCCTCCCACCCTACCCTCACAATTCTGGTAACCAACAAAGAATTTTTTCCTCCCCCTTTTAGTATGCTACCTCAACTTTTCAGATGAAGACTTTGAGGTAGAAAAAATTAAATAACTTGTCCAAGACAGGGCCAAAGCAGGGTCTGAGCCCAGCTGAGCCGAATGTATCTAAGCAGAAAAAGATGAATATCCATTATTTAATAAATTCCTGGTGTGGTGCTGTAGGATATAAGCAACTAAACTTCAAGGTCGATTTGAACCACAAGGTCGGCAGTTCAAACTCACCAGCCGCTACTCAGAAACTCTACACAGGGTCACTAAGAGTCGGAATCAACTCAAAGGCACTTGGCAACAATACCAACCAACTCCTACAAATCTTCACACCCCCAATAAACTGGTATAAGAATGACCACAGGAATTTAACATGCAATTCCCACTGATAAGCAAATAGCTAAGACATAGATGAAAACCCTCAACCACACACTGTTATGAAGACTGGTAATATTCTGGGTCCCACAGAATGCAAGGAAACAGGTAGTGCCACGTAGTTGGTTCCAACTCAGAGCGAGGCCCTGTACTGGGTTCCCAAGGAGCGGCTGGTAGGTTTGAACTGACCTGTGGCTAGCATTCCAGTGCTTATCCTTCACCACCATACCAGGATCTCTCATATACAACTGTTGTTGTTAAGTGCCATGGGGTCGGTTCCAATGCAGAGTGGCCCTGTATAGTGTTCCCAAGGAGAGGAGCAGCTGGTGGGTTTGAACTGCTGACCCTGAAGTGTCCAGTCACAGCAGGACTACATGCATATGTACCTTTTTTTTTTTTTTCCCCCAGTAATTCCTCTTCTAGATTTAACCACAAAGACATAGTCAACAGAAGCCCAAAGGTCATGTAAGAGGATATTCACTGTAGCTTTTCTGTAAAATTGAAGCTGTTGGGCAGGCACACACTGGGGTGCCTCTGCTCTCTGGGATAGGGTGTAAAAACAAACTCATAGACCCCAGCATGGTAAGGCGCTGAGGAGGTATCATCAAAGGGGAGAAAGGGAGCATGTCACAGAATACACTGAGTTTTAACTCATTTGTTAGAAAAAAGAAGTGACCAATCAAAGAGGGTAAAGGTACAGTAATCAGAAAAGTTTCATATTAAGAACAACCTCCAAAGATTCAAAGCAACTGACACAACACACTTTATTGTTTCCGTTAACAACAGGCTGTGGACAGAGTGAAGACAAAGGCAACAGTGACATCCCATTGTAACTTCAGTCACAGGTGATTCTGTTACAAAGTTCCCAGCGGTTCAACAAATTAAATGTAAAACATACAATGGACAAAACCCAAGAAATAGAAAGATTCCAACTTCTGTAGCATGTCCTTTTAAAAATAAACTTTGATTTAATTAATTGTGTACTTAATTCTGACAGTAATTCAAAACACAGATTGACAACTTTCCTAAACCAGCCCACAGTCTGGATTTAGGAGTTACAGTATTAACAGAAGTATGCAAAAAAACTTAAAAAAAAAAAAAAATTCAGTGCACAGAAACAAAACTATTTTCCTTATTTTAATGTATCTGGGTACACAATTTCAATTTCAAAAAAAGCCAATCACTGTTATATGCAGATAAATTAATACAGATTTGACAATTTTTTTATAATGAAACCCAACTCACATTATACTAAAAATATATATGTGTGTGTACAGACGATATATATGCAATCCTATTTTAGCCCAAAAGGTGTCTTGGTGAACATGACTGACAATACTCGATCACAATATGTACAAAACCTATATATATATATATTTAAAAAAAGATTTTCAATGAAATTCCATGTTCACATTCCATCTGAAAACGGTACTTACAGATAAATAGGTCTAGCTAAGGGATGCACTTGGAGATCACAGCTAAGGCAGCTCGTTCAAAGGGCTCCCGTTGTCCCCCACTCTGCTGCTTCACGCACGCGTAACTCACACGGCCCGACAGAAACAGCCCATAATGCCAACGGTTATAACCACCTGGTGCTCAATCACCAACGGACAAAGGGTAGTTTAAGAGTTGCTAGAAAGAATAGTGTGTGTTTTTCTTAAAATATATGATTCTTTATTCCATATTAAGCACTTATTTAAGACAGAAGAGGCTGAGCAAGCCACTCCATTGGGCGTCAGTGGCAACAGCACGGACTGTGGACTGGGACAGCTAAGCGGGGTCCCACTAATGAGCACATCCTTCCCCTGCATAGAATCAATGTGGTTTGGTAGGTCTTTGCCTGGGGACACCAGCCTGGAGTTCAGATACAGTCCTGATGGTCCATCTCCAACAGGAAAACACACTTCAGACAGGCCACGTGGGGGCATAGCAAGGAGGTTCCACACAGTTTGTGGAAAAATGCAATGAAAAGATATTGCAGCTTTCCCACCAACTTTTGGAAGGCCCCTCAATGGGAGAATGCACATGGCTCCATCTGTCTGATATTCCTTAGGTGGAGCAGCTGCTAAAGCAGAAACAAGGGAACTGTCCAGCTAACAACGGAGGTGGCGAGATGAACAGATTCACCTAATGCTAGAGAGTCCAGGAAGCTGAGTTGACCGAATAGTGATGGCACTATTTCAGCAAGTCTTTAAGCCAACATCGGCCATGACCTGGTACTTCTAGCTCACCTTTCTACAAGCACTGAGGATTTGAAGCTTCAAGGGTGAGAAACTGGGTACCCTTAGAAAAGGGGGAACAGTCTGAGGCAAGAGTTGTATGTAGGTCTGTAAATATATATTTTATATGCACACACAATTGTGTGTATTCTGTATATATTTACATACATATTCACAAGATGCCCTGCAGTGTAGTTCAAAAGGCCTTTCTCTGGGAACAAACGGGCTTCTAGTGGAGACCCTAGAGTTGATAACATCTGTTCTAAGAAACAAATGTGCACATATTAACACAATGTAAAACCTTGCCAAGAAGCAAAGCTCTGCGTCTGAGTGAAACTGTACCTTTTACTAGGGATCAGTGATGTCATCGGAACACTTCACACAAATCAAAGTTAAAAAAACACACGCAACCAGGTTTGAAATTCACAGGAAAAAAGAAAAGTTGCTCAGCATAGCCAAGTATGAACACAGTTCCAATTCCAGAGGAGGAGAAAAATACTAAAATGTTATAAATTTCCTGGGATGCAACTTCATGATTGCATCCGTTTTAGAAAAATAGACTCGGAGGAACGACGCGGCTAGGACTTGCTTGGACACATCTCCCCACACTGCGCGCGTTTTATCTTTTTCCTCGTTTGTTTCCAGCTGGAGGTTTCTTCAACTGAAGGAGCTGTCCTCCGGTTCCAAAACCTGCAGTGGCAGGATTGGACACCCCAAACGTCAAGCCAGCAGACGCCGTGATGCCAGGGTTGCTGAAGTTAAAACCAGATGTACTTGAACTGCCAAAGCCTTACGTTCAGGGAAGAAAATATTGACATCAGAAGTGAAATCACAAACACAAATATAAAAAAAAAACTAAAATAAAGGGAGGGACAGAGAGGTAACTTTCTATACCCATGACTATCTGAGGGTGCCCAATTTCTAACAGACAATCTGATGGGAAAATAATTTAGCTAGTAACTTAATGGCATCTTGAAAGACAGAAGTTTAGCCAAATAGAGCCAGAGGAGCTTTAGCACAAATAATGGACGTCTATGGAAAATGTCAATTCTAAGTCCTCCAATGAAGCCTCAAATCCACAATTCTCGGGCTAACAGGCACGCTGAAGAACAGTCCTTATTGTTCAGATAACATAAGGGTCCTCACACAATTAAAACTGAATATTATTAACCAATCTCGTTGTCATCAAGTTGATTCCGACTCTGTTTCCCATGGAGCAGCTGCTAGGTTTGAACCGCCCACCTTACAGTTAACTAGCCCAACACCTGATCCACCAGGGCGGCTTCTAATACTACTACCTAGTTAATATTACTACCTAGTTAATGAATATCATCTGTATTTCAATTACAATTCTGATAACACCGAGTTTACTTTCATTTTATTTTAAGCACATCTTAATATCCAGTGGGATTTCTTTCAAATTCCGTAATGCCAATCTGACTTTATCAGTATTATGTCCTTCTAGTACATGGACTATTTAGCTTAGTCCTGGTGTAGCACTGTAGGATAAGCACTGGACCGCAAGGTCGGTTTGAACTACAGGATCGATGGTTCAAATCCACCAGCTGCTCCTTGGAAACCCTATACAGGGTTACTAAGAATCGGAACATACTCGATGGCAATTAACAACAACAAAAATTTATCCCAAAGCATTGAACATGAAAACAAGCCACTATTTATAAATCTATACCAAATACAAGAGTGAATATAATTTGGAATTTTCTAAGAGTCAAAAATATTCCAACTGTTGCAAAAAAAAAGGAGGAACCCATTCATCACCATTTTCAGACAGTGGTTAGTTTTAAAACCGGAGGGATTTATAACTGAAGGATATTTATTGGGATAACAAATTCTCTTAAATAAACATGGATAAAAACTGCATTACGCTTTTCCCAACACTGGTTTTCATATTGACCAAGACAGTGGGTGGTTTCACCATGAAGCTGGTCACAAGGGTCCCAAAAGTGAATCTCTCCTTGGTTAAGAGAGGACAGAATGATTTCTGAAGTCCAACTATGCAGTCTGCTTAGAAATGTCTTAGTGATCTAGCCTTTCATTAAAGTGATGACTCGATCCAATTATTTAGGCGGGCATGCTTTTATCCAGGGTGGTGTCTGGGGTGGGGGTGGGGGGAGGGAGAAGGACAGGGGAGACTGGAAACCACAGGAGTTGGGACTTTTCAATTCAAACCTTTGCGCTTTGAAATGCGCCCAAGATTCAGGCAGAAACACACAAACCTGCACTAAGACTTCCTGAGGGTTTATTTGTTGTTCCAAATCCAAATGTGGAGGTCCCTGTAGTGTGGCTTCCAAAACCAGAGCTAGTTCCAAATCCTAGTGGGGAGGGCAATAGAGAAATATACAATGGTACGTAAAACACAGGTTACATGAGCCTGACAAGTAAAAACCAACAATTAGCAAAGGCCTAGGAAACACTCTGGGAAAACATGCCTTTATTAAGGAGAGCGGGCTTTCTACACCATTGCCTACAACTTAGGGAGGACACAGATCTGTTCTGAAATGATGCCCTTTCTACCTAGTGAGACTCCGTTTATGGCCCACAAGTCATTGTCAAGAACAAGGGCATGCCAAAACTAAAAGCCCGTGTTCATATCTTCTCTCCTGGTTTGGCAGGGAATTTTAGTGACTGTTACAGGAGGATTTGGGCCAAGCAGGTAGCAACATACGTACTCCAGATGAATTACACTCACATATATGACCATGGCATGTACACAGCACAGACACCAGTAAGTACATGATCATTGGACTCTGCTCTTGGCCCACTTTCACGGAATTGACAAAAACCATCAAAACAAAACAAAACACAACACAACACAACACAGTAGGCATTCATTTTAAGTCTCCTTGATAAGAGTAGGTTTCTGCTATACCGTGAGCCACTGTGAGAAACGGGCTGGGGATTGATTCATATTTTACTTCTCGGCAACATTCTTTTCACAAGTAAAGTAAAAAGAAATCTCGTCACCAGATAAAACCTGCTGTTAAGTACTTGGAGACTGGTTTCCCTCTTTTAAAAGTCAGGTGGTCTACAAACAGAGTTAGGATATTTTGATACCCAACCACCCTACTGCCACTGAGTCAATTACGACTCAGAGGTCCCTTACCGGACAGAGGAGACCTGCCCCGTGGGATTTCCCAGGCTGTCATCTTTACAAACAGATAGCCTCATCTTTCTTCCATGGAGTGGCTGGTGGGTTTGAACCACTGACCTTGTGTTCAGTAACCCACAATGCACCAGGGCTCCTTAGTTTGCTATAGCTTATCTAAAAGAGCTTGGTGTGGTGCTGTGGGATAAATCACTGGACAGCAAGGTCGATTTCAACCACAAGGTTGGCAGTTTAAACTCACCAGCCGCTCCTTGGACACCCTGTACAGGGTCGTTATGAGTCAGAACTGACTCGACAACACTGAACAACAACAATCTAAAATAGTGACTTTACGAGTAGTGCTGTAAGGCTGGGAAATACGGTGACAAAGTGGATTACAGCTCTGTTGCTGTTGACCGTGATGCTTACCATGTACACAGAGCACTCACAATAGCTTACAGACTTTCCATCTTAGTAAGATACAGTTTAGCAGACGTAAGGGAGCCTTACGCATGACATTACAATGCATGTATCAAAACACAATTCAATTTCAGTGATGTTTTCAAAAACCTATGACTGTATTTGTATTTAGCACGTTTCTGCTGAGGACTTACATTACTTATCGTTAGCTTACAGAACTAGTTAAATAAACTTAATTCCTAACATATACAAGTATGCATATAGGCAAATATATCCAGCGTACTTAGGAACAGCTAGATGCCAAGCTGCTCCACTGGAATAAAATCATTCCCCCAGCTCAAGTGCTCCCATTCAGAAAAACAGGTCTGTGATTAGAAAGAAGCACGTATATTCAGAAACAGTTCAGACTCTAAAGAGTGTTAAATGACCAACTTTTCAAAAAAGTTCATTCAAATTTTTTACACTGACAAATAAGGGATTCTCAAGGTCTTATTTTAGCATATTGCTTGCTTTTCTAAATACCATTCACAGAAACTAAAAGGATTAAGTTCTAAATCTGATGCTAGAAGGCATGGAGCACATTTGGAGACACATTTTTGCCAACTGTAACCGTAACTTCCAAAATAGCAGCAGCTCCTTTCAGACTCGTGTCTCATAGGCCAGCATCAATGCAAAGGTATAAAAGTCCAATGAAATATTAGAAAAGTGAAAATGTACCTCCAAGGTTTGAAGAACCTAAGCCACTTGGTTGCAAGCCAATACCTGAGCCGAAAGGCGTTCCAAAACTAACTCCCAGAGATGGCTGTGGCCCTAGTATATAAAAAAAAAAAAAAGGGGGGGGGGAACAAAAAACAAATTCGCCTTACTCTTCTGAGTTTCAAGTTTCTTTATGAAATTATTATTCTTTTAAATTAACATTATGTGCTTTTAACCAATCCCATTTGCTAAACCTTCATTTTCAGGCTGTCTTCCCAGTCTGACTGGTCTATCCACCCCGCCGCCCGAGAGATTAATCTAGCCAGAAAAAAAGCCCACCACCAATTTTTCAATGAGCCTGTTTTGCGCATTAAGCAGATGAATGAAGTCTTGCAGCAGGTGTTGAAAGAGGACGGTATGTTCAGCCGCCTCAGTCATCTGAAATCTTTTACGTATTACATCCCTGGCTGTTCTGATTTATGTTTCCTTCTATTGGTTTTCTGGTAAAACGAGTCGGTGTCATCAGTAAAGCTCCTTCTCATTAGACTCAAGTCTTGAGTGATCGACAGAGAGAGATCAACTCTAAACTGGGCCAACAACCAGGTACCACCGAGTGAATACCCAAGCACCTAGGCAGGATCTCTCAGAGGAAATATAAATGATATATACAATGATCAGTAGATAAAAAACAAGACAATGTTTTATTTTATTAAATTTATTGTTCATTTTTAAAGCAAGTCAATTACACAGTAGTCACATGACAATTCCAACTTGTTCACAGAAAGTGATCCGACTGAGCTCTCAGGTGAAGCTCTGCTACACGACACCACTTGTCCACCCGATCCACTAAGACAGAGGGACAGACAGTAAGAAAGGCACCCAGGTGCACCTCGACAGATTCAGTACATTCAAGATTTCAATGCAGAAGTTTCTTTCCAACACTTTGGAAAATGGACTCAGATGCAGCACAGTAGTGACGTTTGGCGGAGTTGGTTTGGCAAGAGTAACATCAAATAGCCTCTCATTGTCACTACACTTTTGTTTCGTTTTTTCAAACCAAGCAGAATACAGAAATCTAAAAATCTCTCATTTGATAAATAATTTTATGAAAATGACTGACTACATTTCACAGACAATTTTCAGTCTTCTCTTTTGTTCAAGCACCATCATCAGTGCATGTCAAAGCTGAGAGGACTGCCCAAGTCATCGGGACAGATCAAACTGGACCACTGCCCCAAGAAAACAGCCTTTAGGTTGCCCCACAAAGAATGAGGTTTGCCCATTCAGAAAACAAAACAAAACTGAGGAACTACATTTTGCTACACCTGGGTAGAAGCTCAACTTTTCAAATCGCTCCTGCCCAGAAAAGAGGAATTCATAGCAGCCAAAGTTCTTGTATGATTAAAAAAAAAAAAAAAATTTTTAAAGGATTTTTATAAAATGGTTTAAATCCACTCGGCTGAGAAAAGACCTGCCTAGCAGCTCTTCTGCACAATGTTGCCACAGGCAGAAGGAAGGAAGCATGCGACTTTGTCAGTCGAACAAAATCATGGGCAGAAACCACTTGTCCCAGGTCTATACTGTGAGGAATGCCCTAGAGAGGAGTGTACACCACAATCCCTCAACGTGGGACACTCGGGGCACACGCTTTCTCATGTGTGTTACAAGATTCTGACTCACGGGGATGCTAGAAGACAAAGGAAAACTATTCCTTGGGGTTCCCAAGGCTGTCAATCTTTACGGGAGCAGACAGCTTCATCTGTTCCTGAGGAGGGGCTCGTGAATTTGAACCACTGGACCTTAAGGTCCTTCAGGAGTCTAACATTTAACCCACTGCTCCACCAGGACTCCTTCTGAAAATACTAGAACACAGTTTTCTCTAATCGTCAATATTCAGGATATAGATCATCAAGAACTTCATACAACCCGGTGACAAGACTTCCCATTGTACAATAGGTACACGGTATTTTGAGTTTTCTACCTTCACATGAGTTCTGAAGGCAACATCATTGATAAACTAATAGGCAAATGTATAACATTTTTTTTAATAGGTAAAAACTCACGATAAATATCTCCCATGCCAAAGTTTTCACATATGTTACACTCTGGCCACCATATAAATTAGTTTCATTATTAGAAAACAGAATCTAAATCTTTCAGGCAAAAGTTACGTAAACAATTCAGTAAGTCTGCTTCAAAACTCTGGATATTCAATGCGAGGCTCACAGGGTCATAAAGCAGGCCACATCAGTAGTGGTGTAGCTCAGGGACCGCGCAGAGAAATCTTCACGTAGAGTAACATTTGACAAAAGTCACCACACAATATATTCACACACAACAAAACCCAGGTGAGCACTGTAATTCTATTGTCCAGCAATAAACTCTACCTTCTTAAAAGTAAATCTGCATTCACAGGAAAAGGACTAAAGTGCTAAAAATTCTTTTAAAATTTCCATGATCACTTGAAAATGCCTAATGTAGTTAGTATGGTTACTCCTAAGTCATATTTTGAAACAATAGTTCTTCTTGAAAACAATGTAATAAAACGTCTTTTCCCCCTGTTTGAAAAGTGTCTCACTCTTCCGGATTTCATGGGGAATGTTCCTTTGGTTGTAAACACAATAAACCCACAGAATCACAAGAAACTAAGATGAAATACTTAAAATTTTCTTATTTTCACACTATACCTTAAATTTCCAAACCTACACTAAAAGCTAGGAACGCCTAACAAAAATGTCTCAGTGTTCTTTACATACTGCAGCTAAATCACATGAGAAAGTCTTCTACAAATACCAAAAACTTTCAGAGAAGTAGTCAAAACACAACAGCAAAAGTCAATCCCAAAATATTACCTTTAAAGAAAAAGAAGATGTTGCTGAGTAGCTTTCTGTATTGTAACTGTCTCCATAATCTAACTCACTGGGAGGCCCGGGAAGCACTTGAGAGCAGGACTGCGGAGCACCCCCACACAACATGCCTGTACGGATGCTCACTTCATACACAGACTGGCTGCAGGCCACCCACCCATTCCCTTCAGCCTTTGGAACTTATCACCACACCCCACATGCATTTCAGCCCTATTTCTCACCAACAAACTCTTAAAGGATTAGGATTCGGGCATTTTAATCCACTCCTCCTCCACCTCCTTGAAAGACAACCTGTCAGAACCTTCAGAAGGTTGCAGTCTCAAAAGCCACCACCTCTGTACCTGTGTCTACACGAATGATGCCAAGAATCAAAAAACAAACAAGACAAAACCCCCAACTCTTGCACAGATCAAGAGCGACATAAAACCACATTGCGGAACTTCAAGTCTATGGTCTTCCAAGTTTGGTGCTGGCTCTTAACAAAAAGATCCCACGAAAGGTGAAGTATTTAAGGAGTAACTAACTGGATACAAGGAGTCCTGGTATGGTGCTGTGGGTTAATGCGCTGGACTGTAAGGTTGGTTTGAACCACAAGGTTGGCCGTTCAACCTCACCAGTTGCTCCTCGGAAACCCTATACAGGGTCAATATGAGTCAGAACCGACTTGATGGCACTTAGCAACAACAACTGGGTACAAAGCACAGAACCACACCCAGGACATGCTCTGATGGGGTACAACTCACAAACTATTCTATGAGAGAATTTGTGACAGGGAGACCCTCAGCAACAAAAGGGAACGAAAAAACGTAACACAAATGTTGTCATAGTTGTTGAGGTTTTCAGTTCTAGAAACCCACCCAGTTCCACATGGAAATACCATGAGACTAGTTAGAGGTTGTTGAATTACAATTACTACCTTTCCTAGTTAGAAACCTTGTCCTTTAAAGCTGAAGGGAATATTAAAAGCAGTCATTCCCCCCAAATCCTAGCCAAAATCACTGATGCAATCAAAACAAAGCATATCAGCAAAAGGTTCCTGGTGATGTGCTCTCAAGGGTGCTGCTGACTGGAATGTGTGTGGTCAAAGATGACTTCCTGTCCACAGCCCTGTCAAGTCCACAGCCCTGCACCTGGGAAATAGGGTCAAGTCCACAGCCCTAAGCCTGAGAAACAGGGTCAAGTCCACAGCCCTGCACCTGGGAAACAGGGTCAAGTCCACAGCCCTGCACCTGGGAAATCGGATCTTTCTTTCGTTATCCATTCAATGGAATCATGAAATAGCATCAGGAACAGCCCAATCCTAATCCTGCCGGGTGGTGTTTTCTAACGGTGCAGACAGATGGGGAGGACCCCAGGTGACGAGGAACACAGTGACAAGCAGCACAGGCATGCCCCGGACAGCGGTGGGCCACCAGGACTCAGGAAAAAGGCCTGGCCAGCTCCTCTCCCAGACCCCCCAGGGGATCACACAGCACACACCCTGAAGGGAGCGCTGGTCTCTGGAGCCGTGAGCACAAACTGTCTGTGTCCAGAGACACTGTCATATGGGGTTGATTAAGCATTCCAGGAAACCAAGACAGCCCACATGTTTCGCTCCTCTCTGCTCTCCCTGAGCCTAGTATACAGAGGGCACTCAGACTGATGGACAGAACAGAAATCTGCAAAGGTCCGTGGGCCCAAAATGTCTGAGTGAAAGCCTGTGACCCTTTCTCAAGAGTCCCTGCCGGTGGGCATCCCTGCTTCCTCTTAGTCTACAGGTGAATGCATCTACTTACAGCAAAGCATTTTAGGGAATGGGCTTTTCTTCACTTTACTTCTTAGAATAGAGTTCTGTCATGCTTAAACCTCAGTTAAATTAAACCTACGCTTATCTGATTTGCTTTAGTGGCTAACGTGGGCTCTAAAAGGTCAGTTTGTACTATGGCTGGTTTGATTAGCTGGTTCAATTCCCATGAAAAAATGGAGGGCCATTAATTACGGACTGCTTCCAGAGACATCAAGCCCGTAATTACCTTTTTCCCTTCAAAACTTGCGACCCTTACATGCCAGCTAACTAGTCACTGTGTGGTGTGAGCTGGTATTCACACAGATCCATCACCCACCTGCCTTTTACTGATGCTGATATTACGTGTGCCGTCACTAAACGGGAAGAACACCTTCCAAAACTGTCACGAGTGAAAATCAGAGATTGTTCTCCTAGGGGTCTGGATAAACCCCCAACTCCAAATTCAGAGTTGATTCTGACTCATAGCTACCCTGTAGAGGGTTTTCAAGGCTGGAAATCTTTACAGAAATAGAAAGCCTCATCTTCCTCCTGTGGAGCAGCTGGTGGGTTTGAACTGCCAACCCTGTGGTTAGCATTAGCAGTCCAGTGTCTATCCAACGTTCCTTACACTTCCCTAGAGGTTTTTTTTTTGTACCATGATTTACGATATCATGTGGGACTTTTAGCCAACACATCAGCAAGGAACACTGTAGGCTAACAAAGAGAAATCACTCAAACTTCATAATGAAGAAAGAAAAAAAACATAGAGCCAGGAAGACTCGCTTTGTCTTTGTCAGACTTCAAAGCAGATCCAAGGGGCTGCAGGGGCCAAAACAAACAAGGGGTGACTTCACAGCATTACAATGTGTGACCAAAAAGTCAAAACCCAAATGGTTTCTCTGCTAAGAAGGGGCATCAAACCAAGTACTGAAGTGGTCTGCTTTCCAGGATCTCTCCGACTGTTCCCACCTCTAGAGCATCTCCAAAGATCTTCATCCGCTCTTGCTACTGCTCTGTCCCTTCGGCAGAGGTTACAATGGTGTGTCGTTCTCGAAGTTCGCAGTGGAGGCCCTGCACGCTGCTGCCAGCCAACACGCTACCAACAAGCCCACTACTTATCACCACACCTCCGGTCACTGAGACTGCCCTTCATCCTGGGAATGAGTGCTTTATAACCACTCTGTCGGAGGCAAACACGAATGCCCAGTCTCTCGATCACACGTGAAAATGCAACGCATGCCTCGGCTGCCTCTGCCTTTCAGTCAGTGACACCATCACAAGTTCAGACTCGAGTGCTTATGTCTGAAGGTAACTCAGTAGGGAAAACTCCAGGCCCGGAAGGGCGTGTGGAGCAAAACAGCACACACCATAAGGGAAATGCACACTATTCACTATCTAACCGACGGGTATGGTTATTGCTAAGACTACCCTGCATTTTCGGTCAGGTCTAGGCCCATAGGTGTGCCCATCCCGAGTCTGAGATGGTATGGGAACAGTGCTAACACAGAAGGAAGACTTAGGAAAACCGCGCGCGGACAGCTAGCCTTTTCACAGTAAGAAGCTATAACTTGAATGCGCTCAGACCTGTCACGGGCTGTTGCTGCTGCGTGAGGGCAGCAGCCATGGCAACGGCCGTTGCGTTGGGCATGCTGCGGAAGGGGGTGGGTCCCGTGGTCACTCTGGGTGTGTTCTGCCACTTCTTGGCTTCTGCTCTCCTGGCTTCAAACACATCAACAGCATCACCCAAGAACATTTTCCTGTAGCCAAGGTACTGCTCCTTGAGCACCTAAAGGGATGCAGAAGGGAAAAAAATGGCTGATGGACCGCTGCTTTGACTTGTCACGGGACTGCGATGGGGCTTGAGGAAGTTCATGGGAGACTGAATCAGAAGACTGTGGACTTTTCCTACCAACTTTTTGAAGCCCCCTCGTAAATACAACCACAGACAGATCGCAACGTGGACACTACCGATGACACGTTACCTGAACTTTCCATCAACATGCCTGCCCTGCTCACTGGGTGTATTTCTGTCACCCAGCTTTCCAATAAATCCTGCCTGTCACACACCCTAGTTTCATCAGAGCCCCATGTAAAACAAGCTAGCTGACTGAGAGAAGCTTTCGCACAAGCTGAGCATTTCATGACACTTCATTCTAGGATTCTTTGTGAAAAACTGTCTCCAAATGTCCAAGCTTTGATAACCTATATTGTTGTTAAGTGCCATTGAGTTGGTTCTGACCCACAGCGACCCTGTACAGGCTTTTTTTGAGGAGCTGCTGGTGAGCTTGAACTGCCAACCTTGCAGTTCACACAGCTTTGCAGTCTGACGCATTAATCAACAGTGCCACACCAGGGTTCCTTGATAACCTATGTTGTTGTTATGTGTTGTGGAGTCGGTTCTGACTCACAGCGACCCTATACAGGGTTTCTGAGGCTATAAATCTGTACGGGAGCAGAAATGCTCATCTTTCTCCTACGAAACAGCTAGCTGGTAGTTTTGAACTGCTGACTGTGAAATTAGTAGCCTGATTCGTAACCACTACGTTACCAGAGATAACTTATGTTGTTGTTGTAAAGTGCCATCGAGTCAATTCCGACCCATAGCGACCCTGTATAGGGTTTCCAAGGAGCAGCTGGTGAGCTTCAACCACCGACCTTGCAGTTCAAACAACTTTGTAGTCTGACGCATTAGCCCGCAGCACCACACCAGGACTCCAGAGAGAGAACCTATAGACCCCGCAAAAAGCTTAACTCAAAATCAGCATGTAAGAAGCTAGCATTTAATAGGTGAACTATTAAAACACATTTTTGGGAGGCCTGTGTGATGCTGAGCTAAGATGTTACCTGATAGAGGGTGTGTTCATACTGCCAGGATATTTTACCCTGAGAATGGGTCATGCTGAGCCTGTGTAAGGAAAAAGGAAGGAAGGAGAGAGAGAGACAAGGGAGCAGAGAGGGAGAGAGGAGCTGTTCTCCCAACAACTGCCTAGAGGCCATCACCAGGACTGGGCGCTTCCCGGGAGAATCAGCCATCACTCTCATTGAAGGTTTAGTGAAGTGCCGTTGAGTCGATTCCGACCCATAGCAACCCTGTATAGGGTTTCCAAGGAGCAGCTGGGGAGCTTGAACCACTGACCCTGCAGTTCCAATGACTTTGCAGTCTGACGTATTAGTCCACAGCACCAGGAAGCTCTATATATTCCACTTTAGGAAGACTTGGGAAATGAACCTATTTCCTACCTATTCTTGGCAGAAGCTGTTAATGTACGCTTTGGGGATGCCAGACAGCAGTTTGTATTTGAACCCTTACTTATAGGATCCTTTGGTGAGAGTGTCAGTCCTGAACGTTCCAGTTCCAGACTTTCTCCCTGCCGAATGTACTGAAGGAGGCCTGTGAAGAACTGAACACCAGGGGATATGCAGGGCTTGTAACAAAGACAAAACAAACCTAATCAGAATTGATCCCCCCCAATTCCAGCCTGCCACACACCCATACAGCACTTGGCATCAGTGTCTCAGACATTTTGGCTCTACTCTAGATACTGGGGAAGAGTGGCCCGCCTTAGATATCAGCATTCTCAAACACTGCCGCCAACACTACCCCTTCCAAGTCTGTCAGTGCCGCCGAGTCAGCCTAGGCAAAATGGCTAAAGTCACCTGTCACAGACAGTCTAATCAAGCAAGCAAAGGAGTGATAATAAAGAACATCTCACATGAGATTTCTTCCACAAATGACCAAGTATAGGGCTTATTACCATTAGTCTGCTCATTACACTGAACGGCACAGAAACGGCCAGCTGAGCAGGCACATAGGACGTGAGAGTAGGTCCACGTTGCATCTTAAGCTTATCCAACATGAGCTCTTTGGGGGAGAATCTCTGCCTGGCTGTTTTACGGTCACGTTACAGAGAAGGAGATGGCTCCCACCACAGCGGGGAAAGAGCTCACACAGCTGCAATGATGCATGAGAAATACAACCGGGACAAAAGCATCGCTGTGAGATGTTGTCAGACAAGGCCAGCAGGGCCTGGTCGACTGCTGGCGTTGGGTGGTGAGACCCTGGGCATCCATCCTAACAGTGGTCTTCTACTGTACGCATTTGAAAACATCCAAAAGAAAAATTAAAAATCTAAAGTCAGTGGCTGTGGAGTCTGAGTCTTCAGGCCCACAGGGACCCTGGTTGTCAGAGCGGCGCTGGGCTCGTCTGGAGCTAGTTGTATGGAAGCAGATTACCAGACATTTCTCCTGAGTCACCTCTGGGTTTCCTCTAACGACCAAACTTTCAGTTCCCATAATTACCCCTCTGCACCACACCCAGGGACTGCAATGACAATGGGGGGGGATACGACGACGACATATGTTCACAACAGATTTTTCAGAGTGGCAATTAAAATCATCTTTATCAGCATTTGAAAAAGTCATATTTATAATACACTGATTCAAAAAACCTGATGAAGATTTCTCCCTTAAAATGAAATTAGTTTGAAGGTTTTGCCTAGTTTGAAACCTGTGAACGCCATAGGTATGAAGTGTGCTGTCATTTCAAAATTAGCATAATGTGTCATTTCATTTGAAAAACTGTGACCATACATCAGATTGAAATCAAGATGACACTCTCCTCTCCAGTCAGCCTTTGTTTAGACTCAGATATGAGTCCCAGTGAGGCCCTATGGGGTAAACACTGGACTGATGACCACGAGGTCGGTGACTCAAACCCATCAATCACTCTTCGGAACTGACTCAGTGGCACTAACAACACAGGGTGGGTGAAATGAACCACAACACACACAGCCAGTGAAGTCCTGAGGAAGTGCTAAAAATCACGCGGAAGAATAGTGCACGCACAGGAAAGGTTCAGACAGCATGTCCTATGAGGGGGCTTCAGAAAGCTCAGGGGCAAAGGGATGAAAAGAGAAAGGTATAATTTTGCCACGAACTTTGAGAACCCCCCCCCCCCCAAATAAATAACACTTGGCTCCTTCTTCACAAGCAGACACACGCCAGCAGCTGTGTCTGAATTACAAAGGGCACTTTAGCTCGTTTTGTACTGAGCGTGGATGCTCGTTTGCTAGATGCACCAGTGCTTCACGCAGGGCATCAGAAAGGTATCCAGACAGAGGCAGAGGCAATGAAGACTTACCTTGACATTCTCATGAATGGACTGAAGTTGTGCAGCTAAAGCTACAAACGTCTGGTAGATTTTCTGCATAGTCACAGACAGATCTGGAAGAGAGAAGGATGTGACCACGCAGATATCCGCATATGACATAGTACACTGCGTTTTCAAATGTCATCTAAGAGTTTCCTGCCTGGTACTAGGAGTGTGTCTGACAGAAAACGACATGAACAACGACGGAGAAGCTCGCAGACTCAGAGAGAGAGAGAGAGCGACAAGCACGCTGGGGAAGGGGAGGCAGTTCATAAAACAAGCGTTGCCCATTTCCTGGAAACAAAGCTTGAGTCAAGGCCCTAGAACACCTTCTACACAGCTACAGTTCAATCTCTCATCTACACCCCCACCCCCCCAAAAAAGTGCCTATCAAAAGCATTCCCATAGCAGCATGTTACCTTGAGGGGTGATGTGTGAATTATTTGCTTGTGTGGCCAGATGGTTTTCCAGTTCTTCAATCTGCTGTCTGTACTGCTGAAGCTGAACCTCAAACTGCTGAACCAGGATTCGGAAGTAGCTACATGAAAACATCACACACAAAAAATCAGATCTGATATCTCAAAAACCTAATTTTCTTTATATCCTAAATGCCAAATAGATCAACGAAGGCCCAATCTGAGTACACCTTTGATTAATCCGAATCTTTCCGTGGCCTCTCCCTACTGCCACCAAGTCAATTCTGACTCAGGGCAAACCCAGAGGCAGAGAGTGGGACTGCTCCGCAGGGTCTCTGAAGCTGCAAGTCTCAACAGGAGCCGCTGCTGCATGCCAAAACTGCTGACCTGGCCAGCAGCCCAGTGCTTAGCCCACGGCACCACCAGACTTCCTCTGAACGGCATAGTGAAATAAAAACCCGTACGTTGTAAGTCATCAAGGCTGCACAAACAAATGTGTACCCGCCTCACTTCAGGGGTGAAAACCCCAAATTAAAAGGGTACTCTGAAGTACCCAGGTCAGAATGAGCAGCTGCTACAGAGAGGAGACAAAGAAAGAACAACTAAATGCAAGCCTGCATAAGATGCTGGAACAGAATAAGGACATCAGTAAAAAATTCAGTAAACTTCAAAGGAGGTCTGTACTTTTGCTAACAATTCTGTATGTATCCGTGTAAATATCTGTTCCCCGTACTTATCCAGGGCGATGTTACAGGCTAATGGTAGGAGCAGCAGATTAAGGGAGATGATGAGGAAATTCTCACCACCACGAGTTTTTCTAAGTCTGTAATAAATTCAAAATAAAACACTTTTTCAAAAAAGAGGAAAGTAACTGTCAGACAGATTTTGATAACCAAGCATTCAACGGTCTTCTGTCAATCACATGTATCATCGCAAACACTCTCGTGAACAGTACAAAAGTCCGGCAGTTACTGTTACTGCCCTGATACATTGTAACCAGAGAATGGAAGGGAGATGAGTTTTATTTTTGAAAAAGAATCTTGAGTAGCATGTAAAGGTGCCTGGACATGATTCCGTAAGCAAATGAGAAATGTGGAAGCTTATCCCGTGGACCAGGCTACAAGGTTCGATCTCTTAGCCTTTATTTTCTGTCATCAGTAACTTAGCCTCTTGGGGTTTTTATGAGAATGAAGGTTTAAAAGCTGTGTCTGGAAGTAGACCTGTCACACTATAAACAACGAGAAATTCCGGGCCTGTCTGTTATCAGTGCTCTCCTTTCCTAAAGTAAGAAACATTTGTTTACAACATCCGGGAACTTACTCTGCAGGAGCCGTGTTTTCATGTTGAAGTCCAGGTGGTGTTTTCTGAGTTCTTAGAGCGATTTCAGCATTTTTTAACTCCTAATACAGCAGAAGTTTATAAAAGGAAAAGAAAAGCCAGTCAGAGTTAGGCTAAACTACCAACTAGACCTGGACAGAAGGTTCCCACAGAGCCGCATGTGATGTCCACACTGAGAGCAGAGCGTGCACAAAGCTGCTTTAAAAACCCTGCGAAGACCGGTTCCCAGGGACGGCCAGTTTCTCGACTGTACTGCTGTGGACTGAACCGTCTCCCAGATTGTGCGCTGTAGTCCTAAACCTGCAATTCTAATCCTCTTTGGGAGCAGGTTTTCTCTGACATGTTAGGGGGGCCAGATCAGTATAGGTTAGCATTTTAAATCAATCTCCTCTGAGCTATGTTGTTGTTGATAAGTGCCACAAGGTCGGTGGTTGAAACCCAGCAGCTTCTCACCGGAGACCATGAGTCAGAACTGACTGGACAGCACTTCACAACAATGAAACAGCACAGGAGGCCTCCTGGCATGGTGCTGTAGGATCGCACTGGATGGCTAACCATGAGGTCGGTGGTTCAAACCCACCAGCTGCTCCTTGACAACTCTATACAGGGTTGCTATGAGTAGGAACCAACTAGACAGCGCTTAACCACCAATGATACAATACAGTCGTCAGCACACTGCTCCAGAGCCGAGTTGCCAGGGTCTGAATCCAGACTCTGCCTGTTTTCTTACTTAAAAAGTGAGTATCATCCTGGGACCCACCTCACACAGGGCTGCTGGGCTAACAGATACAAACTAGTGAGGCCTCTGCCACCAGGTACAGAGCACTCAACAAAAGCGGCCATGACTGTGATTCTATCCCTTCTGAGTTACGAGGCTAAGTCTAACAGTATACAGCCACAAAACCACATGAGTCACAAGGATGAAAACGGGAAGCTTTGCCTTCCTGACGTCTGCCCCATCTAGGTCTACACACTTCTGGAGGTGGCACCCTTCGCTGAAGAACCGTTTTTCCACTTACACTACCTCCCTGAGGTGTGCAAACCATGGTCCGCTGACACGTTCTTGGAGTCTGGGAAACAAGAAGTCTGAAGGGCACGATCAGGACTGTAGGGTGGACAGGGTGAAGCTGATCAATGAAATTCTCCCAGGACAGTCCATGCTGCCCTCAAAGAGCAAGCAGGTGCATTGTTGTGATGCACAAGAAACGGCCTCCGTGCACCTGTCACGGCCTTTTCCTGACCAGCACAGTTCTCCATTTTCAGAAAACGTCTTCATAAGAAGTCCCTGTGATCGTCCAGTGTCCTTAGAGAAAATCCATCAAGTTTGTTGCTGCCGTATGTCATGAAGTCAGTTCAGACTCTCAGCGACCCTGTCAAGGGTATCCAAGAGCACTTAGTGGGTTTAAACTACCGACCTTGAGTTTTCCAGTCCAATGCTCATCCTACAGTGCCACATCAGGGCTCCCTTTTGGAATCGCAAAAACAGCACCACAACCTTCTGAACTGACTTCCCTGCCCTGGGTTGAACTGGCCCCACAGATCCCCTGGGACGCCAGTGTGGACCTGGACCTTTTTTTATGAAAGTGTTCTAATGAGACCAAGACAAGTGTATTCCTGAGAGAATGTGTCTGCCGCCATCCACTGATCACAGAGACATGCTTAAACACGTTTTGTCTGGCATAAATGTGAACATGAATGAACTGGAACCCTGGCAGCAAGTTTTTTAACTTATCCCTGGGTTATGCACTACTTGACTTCTTATACTATGTCTTTATTTGACTTTCTAATTACAGGAAGAAAAAAACCAAACTATTTTTCATTAAAAAAAACACATAAGCCTCTTTTTGAAAGCCTGTCAGTTAGGGTACCTGCGCCGTCTCCAGCTTCAGCTTGTCGATGTTGAGAGTGTTTCTCTGCAGCCCACTGGCTGCCAGCGAGAGAAGCTGCTTTAGGGCTTTAATGTCTTCTTGCACTTTAAGCATGGCTTTGGAAGACATTCTACTAATTTCTTCTTGGACCTGTTTCTGTTCCTTCACAAATTTCCTTTAAAAAAAAAAAAAGCAAAATATCTTTGGCTGCCAATAGGAAAAAACAATTACATTTAAAATAGGTCAAAGTATTTAACCTAAATCAAAACCAAAAATTATCAACAGTGCATGTGCTTTTTAAAAGAACGGCAGTTACTGGATTTCAATTCTTATTGGTCTGCTTTCTCTTCCATCTCCCTAAGCATTAGAACTCAAACCCAAGCTACTCTCTTTAAGAGAAAAGGAGATGCTGCCCATAAAACGTACTCTACGATGCGTCAAGGATCATTGATCTAACCGTCCTCGACACTTACTGGAGAGTCTCAACGTCCTGGCAGATGACAGGAGGTAGATGCTCATCCTTCAGTGCTTTACTGTCCCTAGGAGAAAATGACACGCGTATTAGAGTCAAAGAGATTCAAAGCCGTATTAGCTCATTTCTCCTAGAGCAAGAGTCACGGTGTGATCAAATACAACATACACACAGTGTGTCGTGCCTGGATGTAGAAAATAAAGAGATTTCTACAATTCCGCAGACACAGACACCTCTATCTAACAAGGTCAGTGTACACCATAAATACAATCAAAATACAAGCAGATTTCCAAGAATACAATAAATGAGTAAATAAGCAATAATAAACCTAACTGTCACTCTAAAACTATACCAAACCTGACTCCTAATGCTAGCCCAACCCCGACCCCAAACCCTAAATGAAGCCCTAGGTCCCAGCCTAACCCTAACAACAGCCCTAACCCTAACTCCTTAATTCTGCCCCTGCCCCTCAAAACAAAGTGAAAAAGTCTAAGACAATGATTAAAGCCTTTGACAAAATGGCTAAGGGACAAGTCAGACTGGGTAGACACTGAACAACGTGTCTTCTGGTTTCAGGATTCTAGGATTGATTTTGCTCAGTTCCCAACATGAGAACATTTCTTATACGAAGGACACAAAACTTCATAACAAGATGTGCACGTTAGTATGTGTTCTTCAGTTCCCACTGGGACAAGAACACATGACTGAGGATAACTTGTTGTTGTGAAGTGCCGTAGAATCGGTTCCGACCCATAGCGACCCTGTATAGTGTTTCTGAGGAGCAGCTGGTGAGCCTGAACTCCAACCTTGCAGTTCAAACGGCTTTGCAGTCTGGCGCATTAACCAGGGCTCTGAAAGATAACTTCAGGAATCACAAATCTCCAGCGGGGACAAACCCAGGGAAATTTGTCATGCTGCCGTGGAACAACTTACATTTCGATCTCAGAACTAGTCTTCCTACCTTCCTGCACATACTACTCCTGCCTCTCTCGGCTTCTTCACCTCCATAGCAGGGGTCACGTATCACATGCTGCTTCTGAGATGCACATTTGGTAACTACTTATACAGGCTTTATGTAATATAAAGAGCGAATTCAGTGAGAAAACAAGTTTACAGTTAAACAATTATCTTCAAGTTAAACTGCACACTTACTCTGGTCTTGTTCCTGTTTTATCACCTAGAAAAAAACAAAAGGCTTCCTTTAAAAGGGGGTCATTTAGCAATGCATGGCAAATACAAGTTTTATATTAACACACGCTTCAAACTCACTAAATCCAGATATAAGTGACAGGAGCCTTGGGTAAGCACTTGGTTGCTAACGAGAGGTTGCTTGTTGGAACCCGTCAGCCACTCCTTGGGAGAAAGAGGTGGCCATCTGCTTGTGACCTGGGAGCAGCAGTTCTACTCTGTCCTCAAGGGTGGCTCTGAGCGAGAGCTGAGTCTGTTTCAGGGGTTTTTGCGGGGAGGGGTGAGTGCAAGACGGTGAAGCAAGTCTGAGATGGCTCTGAGGTCATGCCAACTGGTCACAGCCTCAGCAGACCTGGCATATGTCACCCAGACATGTGACCCAGCTGGTCCTCTTCCTGTCTCAGCATCTTCCACAGCACTGGTGCTGCGTGGAGTTTACTCCTCGCCCTACAACTGACATCTGGGCAGAACTACCTGACACCTCAGGCCCGAGCAAAAGAGAACGGAACACGAGAATACGATCATTGTACAAAAACAGCAAATTCAAAAAAAAGAAAACGTTCTTAAAGCCTGCAGATATTTCAAGAGCTCTCTCAATAAAAAACTCCTAATTGATAATAATGAGTAACCACTCGTCCGTCAGTTTGCCGCACTGTGGTGGCGTGTGTGTTGCTGGAAGCTAGGTCACCCACGGTCACAGGATTCAGCTGAGCTTCCAGACTAACAGTAGGGAGAAGGACCGGGCACTCTACTTCTACCAACACTGACAAGCAGCAGCACACTGTTGGACACGATGCTAGAAGATGAGCCCTCAGAATACAACTAGAGAAGAGCTGTCTCCCCTAAAGTAGAGTTGACCTTGGTGACACGCATGGAGCTAAGATTTCAGGCCTCCACTGGCTGAGGGAGCACAACTCAAAATAAGAAACAGCAAATATCCAGTAATCATCGGAACGTGGACTGGATCAAGTATGACTCTAGGAAAATTGGAAGTTGTCAAAAATGAAATGGAATCCGGAGCGATCGCTATCGTAGGCACTAAAGAGCTGAAATGGACTGGTATTGACAGTTCTGAATCAGACAGTGATGACTTACTATGCCGGGAATGACAGAGTGAACAGGAATGACACCCCACTTGCCAAAAAGAGCATTTCAAGATCTGTTTTAAAAGTCTACCCTGTCAGTGACAGGATGATCAGTTACTACAACTATTATTCAAATTTACACAGTGCCAAAGATGAAGAAACCTCAGATTTTTATCAACTTCTGTGGTCTGAACTGATGAAACTTACAATCAAGATGCACTGATAACTACTGGTGAGTGGAATGCAAAGGGTGGAACCAAATACCATCAGTCAGAACGCAGCCAGGAATTGACTGAGGAACAATCAGTTGCTCATATGCAAGTTCAAGAAGATGAAGAAAATTAAACAAAATAAGTCCGCAAGAGACAAAGTATAACCAGGGTTACATCTCCCCTGAATTTAGAGACCATCTCAAGAAGAGATCTGACAACTAAACGCAAATGAGTGAAGACCAGATGAATTATCATGGGCCTCAAACAAGAAGAAATCAAGAGATCATGGCCAAAGTGGATGTCAGAGGAGACTCTGAAACTTGCTTTTGAATGCAGAATAAAGCAAGGAGAAGAAAGATGACGTCAAAAACAAACGGAAGATTCCAAAGGACAGCTCAAGAAGGCAAAGTGTTCAAATAAAATATGCAAAGATCTGGTGTTAATAAAATGAACAACACTTCTGAAGTTGAAAATGCTAAATAAAAAATTCAAGCCTTGAGTTTGCAATATTGAAGGATTTTACTGACAAAATATCAAGTGACGCCAGAACCATCGAAACAAGATGGAATATAGAGCTACTGTACCAAAAAGAATTGGTGGGCATTCAACCATCTCAGGAAGCCACATACATTCAAGGAAGAAATCTGAACTGCACTAAAGGCATTGGCAAAAACAACAACTAGGCTCCAAGAATTGATGGAATTCCAACTGAGATGTTTCAAGACACACGTGCAACACTGAAAAGGCCCACTCATTTTTGCCCAGAATCTGGAAGACAGCTCCCTAGTCAACTGATTGGAAGAGATTCATACTTGAAGAAAGGTGATCCAACAGAACATAGCAATTATAGAAATATCATTACTATCACACACAAGCACAATTTTGCTAAGATTAATTCAAAAACAGTACATTGATAGAGAACTGCCAAAAATTCAAGCTGTGACCTATACTTACGGATGTAGTATCTCAAAATACCAACAGAAAGGGAAGGAGTCTTCACATCAAGTTATCAATGCTATCTCCTCTATACACAGGGTAGATAGGGACGGGCAACTTAGACATTGGCTACCTAAAATGAGGGGGCAATAAAGGCACAAAGTGACTGTCTTACAAGATTTCAAGAGGCAGTTTAGTTTCAGAGTGTACGGGGGAACACAGAGTATCCACTGAATAGTTTTTATCTTGTCTAGACAGGGCTGGTGAAAGGAGATGGGGATAAGATTCTTATGATTCAAGAGTGAGTAACTGTTATCATGACTAAAAGCAATGGTCACAACTAAAGGTAGAAGTTTTATAACAAAAAAGGGGGTGGATGAGTACTTAATCTTACAGTCCAGAAACAGGACCCTAGGACCGTCAAGAGAGAAGAGCACAAGTAGAATGTGGGACCCTCTCCAGAGAAGCAGTGACACCAGAGATGGAAGCAGAGATGAGGACATGGAGAGAGGGAGCAGCTGAGGACTCCAGACTCATGGAAAGAGAGGGAGTGGGTGCTGGTAGCCAGGAGGCAGGCTTGCAGAATATGCCCTTTGGTTGTTTAAATTATTATATAATTCCTGACTGTTTCTGAGTACATCCCCCCAGCCTCCTAAAAAACAAAACAGGGAATGGAAGCAAATCCTATTGAATGATGACGCACGGAGGAGATTGTAATCATTGCAATGAAACGATGAGTGTAAAGCCGATGTTCTCCCATGTAACTATCACTCAGGTCACAATAAAAACTTAAAACAAAATTCAAGCTGGGTTCAGAAGAGACATGGAATGAGTAATGTGGCCGATGTCTGTTAAGTATTGGCTGAAAACAGAGAATACCAAAAATGCATTTACCTGTGTTTTAATGACTTTGTAAAGGCATCTGACTATGAATAACGCTGTGACATGGGAACTGCCTTGTGTTTACGCAGAAACTGCACACAGACCAAGAGGCAGTCATTAACAGAATAAGGAGACACTGCATGGTTTACAATCAGGAAGGTGTGTGTCACGGTTATATCCTTTTACCATACGCATTCAAATAATCCAAGAAGCCGAATTACATGAAGATTACAGCCTCTAGATTGAGGAAGAATCATTAACTACAAGATGCAGATGACACAACCTTCCTTGCTGAAAGTGAAAAGGACTTGAAGTAATTACTTTTGAAGACTAAAGACTAAATCCTTCCGTATGGTTATACCTCAACATAAAGAAAACAAAATTACTCACAACTGCTTTAATAACTAACATCACAATACATGGAGAAAATATATTGGAATTGTCAAGGCTTTCAATCGCTTGGATACACAATCCACACACATAGAAGCAGTGATCAGGAAATTAAATGAGGTACTGAATTGGACAAATCTACTGCAAAACATCTCTCTAAAGAGTTCAGCAGCCAAGATATCACTATGAGAACACTGGCACGCCTGACCCAAGCTATAGTACTTTCAAGCGCCTTATATGCATGAGAAAGCTGGACAATGAATAAGGAAGACCAGAGAACAATTGATGTCTTTGAATTAAGGAAGGTGATAGCAAAGAATGCTGACTGTAGTCTGGACTGCCAGAGAAGTAACGGCTCGTCTGGGAAGAAGTCCACCCCAAATGCTCCCTGGAGAAGGACAACATGCTTGGGAAAGAGGGTCAGTGAAAAAAGACGACCCTCAGAGAAAGATAGGCACGGTGGCTGCAGCAGTGGACTTCACCAGGGCAACCACTGACCGGGAGGGGCAGGGCCTGGCAGGACTTTGTTCTGTTGGACACTGGGTCCCAAGAATCAAACTGACATCGCGGCAGCTGTCAGCAACCCTTACACGTACTGCCATTGAGTCGACTGTGCCTGGAAGTCACCCTGCAGGACTGAAGAGCGCTGCTCCACAAGGACTCCGAGACTGTGACCAAAATGGGAGCACAGTCTCGTCTTTCCCCAACTGAATGGCTGCTGCCTTGTTCACACGGGGTCTAAAAGCAATGAATGATCAAGGAGAAACTCAGTCTCTTGTTTACCATGAAAGAAATTGAGGGGCTGGCCAAGCTGCTCTACTTACAAAAAAACCACACCCAAACCCACCGCCACTGGGCCGGTTTCAACTCCAAGTGATCCTATATAGGGTTTCCAAGACGGTAAATATTTGTGGGAGCAGACTGTCTCATCTTTCTCTCGTGCAGCAGATGATGGATTTGAACTGCTGATCTTACAGTTAGCAGGCCAGGGCCTAGCCCACAGTGCCACCAGGACTTCTAAAATGTGATGAGCAAATCAAAACACTGAACATGCAGCCAAAGAGTTGATTCTGACTCTTAGCAATAGAGTATATAGTATTCTCAACAGCACAACAGCACAGTAGAGGGTTTCTGAGACTGAAAATCTTTCTTCAACAGAGAAGCTGGTGGGTTTGAGAAGGTAAGGTTAAAAAAAAAAGCTATTAAAACATCTAAGGAGTTGCTACAAAGGAATACTAAATAAAAACAATAAAGAGAAGACCAACTTTAGAAGCAAGTTAATTTTCACACAACTTTGTAACGGTCATTCACCTAGAAAAGTCTCTCTTGCAAGAAAACCCACGTCCACTGTGAGGTGTAGAGATGTGAACCCTGAGTGTCTGTCCCCGCAGTCCTCACAGAGCCAGTGCAGGATGAACGCACATACGGCAGCGGAAAATGCACAACCAAACAAAAACAGACACACGATAGCTACACAAATGTCTTCAAAATGAACTGGGATTAGTGAGTTTAGAAACAACCCAGTACTGGAGAGGAGGACAGCAAGAGAGGCATTTTCATACTACGTGGTGGGTAAGTAAATTGGGAAAACCTTGCTGGAAAGTCACTTTAGATATGGACCAGTAATCTACATTATGTTCCTCTCGCCACGTCATTGGCTCGATTTCTAAGTATTAGCTTTTAAGAAATATGAGCACCAATTTAGAATCGAGATACATACACCCACATCTACTTTATGGCTGGGTGTCCTCAGGATTCACAGATAGTTAGCATCCAACCAGCCCCATGAAGCAGAAGCAGAAGCTATCATTTCCCTCTACTTTACAGGTAAGGAAACTGAGGTACAGAGAGGCTAAAAGCCTTGAATAAGGTCACAGAGTTTATCAACAGTTGGGCCAAGATCTGAACCCAGTCAATTAAGCTCCAGCACGAGACTCTTACCAATCGACTCTCATAACTCCTATATCACGCTGTCTCTGTATCTACATAAAGATGCTCAAGAATGCAAAACAGAATTCCCAACATGCAGACACGGAAAACAGATACCTAACAATAAGATAATGGTAGACTAAAACTATAACACATTCGCTCATAAAATTAATATTGACCAGCATGAAAATGCTTTTTACATTACTGACATTTGCAAACAAACACCCAGGATGTGTTGTTTCATGAGAAAGAAGAGATTACAAAAACAGTGTGTATATTATAAACCCAGTGCAAAATGACACGTTAACATGCATATCAGGAAAGTGATAGGCACAGACAAATCTAAGGTTTTCAAAACTATAAATTTAAACGCACAATACATGCCTAATTTGTAACATACTGATATTACAAACAAGCAAAAAGGGAAAATATACATACTCAATGTAAAATACATGATTTTCAAGACATAGGAACGTGGAGGAACTTAAAAATTCCCTCAACAGAATTGCCAAAACATAGAATTACAACATCACTTACTCTTTTTATCTGAGGAACTGCTAAAGTCTATGCCGCCAAGGCCTTCATTGCCTGCAGTCGAGGTCGCAGTAGCAGCTCCCAGAGTCAAGCCTAAAGCATTCTGTCCAAGTCCTAGAGAAAAACCAACCATCATTTACAAAGTTCTCTCAAAGATTTTGTAACAATTTCCCACTGCTGACCTAGGCACTCAAATGCTTTTAGGTTGGATCCCAGATTTTCTTCAGACTCAGTTTAGGCAAATGACAAGAAATGTGTCTAGCATATTCTTACTTGAATTCAATAGCTCCCATAGTTTGAATACAGATTTTTCTTTATTAATAAAGGTCATAATGCTATTTGTTAATTCAACACATGTGAACACTCAATTTTTATTGATATCATGTATCTTAGTGGAACGCTGGTGGCACAACGGTTAAGTGAATGACTGCTAACCGGAAGCAGTTCAAACCTACCAGCTGCTCCGCAGAAGAAAGACCTAACAGTTTGCTTCAACCAGTCTTGGGAAGGCCGTGCAGCTGTCCTACTGTCTTGGAAGGCTGGGAAGGCCGTGCGGCTGTCCTACCATCCTGTGAGGACGGGAAGGACGTGCAGCTGTCCTACCGTCCTGGAAGGTTGGGAAGGCCGTGCGGCTGTCCTACCGTCCTGGAAGGCTGGGAAGGCCCTGCGGCTGTCCTACCGTCCTGGAAGGCTGGGAAGGCCATGCGGCTGTCCTACCGTCCTGGAAGGTTGGGAAGGCCGTGCGGCTGTCCTACTGTCCTGAAAGGTTGTTAAAGAGTCAAAGCTGACTCTGCTCTAAGTCAGAGCTCATGGACGGCAATGGATTTGGTTTGGGATTTTCAAAATAAGAAAAATAATCATAATAAAGTCAATGTAAGTTAATGTAACCATAAAGTAAGCATTAAATCTTGGGTCTGGAGTTTGAGAAGATTCAGGGCAAACCCCAAAACCCAGTAATGGGAAGTTACAGGAACCGCCCTCTATGTCGCCTGCCTAGTTTTGCTATCTGGCTTTGCTGTCTCAGGAAGTATGAGCTATGCTTACACTCGTATCCTGTAAAGAAATGCAAGTTATAGTCATTGCCTCATTAGGTGGCCAGAAAGCATTCTGAATACCTACAAAGTTAGACTATAATGACAAAGATAAGTATTTGAAAGATCAAAGCAAATTTGATCAATTTCTAAAGTTAAAATCTAACCCCCTCCACTTCAAACACACACACAAACATACAAATTTCTACAGGTTTGATTATTCTGACTCCGTTTTTCCCTTTCCATTGACTGGAGTCTTCTCTGTTAAGCCTACAAGTTGCGTACAGAATACGAAGGTGCTACAAGAGAAAACGTTACATTAGATTCGTCCAGCTCCCTGGTAGCTGACACATACCAGGTGCTAGCAAAACTTCCAAAGCTAAACAGTGACTCTGAATTAGCCTATAACACTCCAGTACATATCCAGTTTCCCAATTGGGACAGCGCAGGCTCCGTGCAGCGTTTCTAGATGACTTCACCTGCAGGGGAGCTTGTCTCACGCTCGTCAGTCTGCAGACTTAAGAGATGGGTGCTCCAAGTGGGACAGTCCAAGTGCAGCTTCATTCACCTGTACCTCCAAGTAAGATGGCTGTTTTAACACTCACACTTTAGACTGGGCCCGGCTGTAGCCACTATTCAAAACAGCTGCAGAAACCTTAACATGAGGCATATTTTTAAAAAATGAAATAAGAAATCAAACTGAAATATAAAATATTAATTCAATATTAACTATCAGGTGAGTCAACACATTAGTATTCTGTCTAGAGACTACAGTACAAAGATCTAATCTTCCCTTTAAAACAGCTTCCCATCGTGTAGAGCCGTTCCTAGCTATGAGGTCAAATGCCTTTACACTGAACTTAAGTGCTAAGCAATCCCAAGGTTTTCAGCAGCCACTTATTCAAAAGACAAGTTTCTCTAGAACATACACCGATTTTTAAAAGTGGCCCTTCTTTATATTTCTGCATTTTAACAATCCATATTGAGAAAAAGGAAAAGTTGATTGCTAAAATACGGCTAAACCTACTGCTAGCGAGTCAATTCTGACTCAAAGACCCTACAGAACAAAGGAAACCTGACCGAGGGGTTCCCGAGAATCTCCACAGAAGCAGACGGCCACATCTTTCTCCCACACAGCTGCTTGTGGATGTGAACCACCAACCTTGTGGTTAACAGGCCAACACTGAACCCACTGCGCCACCAAGGCACCTTTAAAATATGGCTAGACTGTCCAAATATGTATGCACACATAATTCAGCTTTCATACAAAAAGGGTAACATCCAAGTTAAAGAGACAAAGTGGTCTGCTTACAAGGCCAAAGTAAAGAAAAAGTCAATTGACATTTCCGGTTTCTAGAGAATAAATACTGTTAGTTACCTGCTGTTGCTGTGTTTGTACTCTGGAAAAGCGACCCTCCCAGACCAGCTAAAGCTCCCCCCAGAGAAAGGCCAGTTGATGCAGCTGTGGTTGTGGCTGTCGTTCCACCCAAATTGTTTAGAGTAAATCCTGTGGAAGCTATAAAAGATAAAAGAGAAGCAATATTAGTTTTAAGAACACTATACAGAAAAACACAAATAATTTTGAAAAACTGATTTCCAGGAAGAAATTGGCTCTTTGAAAAAACTATGTCTTAAAGACCAAATTATATGTGCCTGAGATAAATAGTAGTTTCAAAGGTAAAATCAGTGACAGAGCTAAGGGCTGTGGGTAATACGGGAATGGTCCTAGATAACTAATACCAGACAGTTATCACACTTTCACCCAGGCCACCAAGTCTACTTCCAAGACGAAATGAAACCGAAGCCAGGCAAGACTTATGTGAACTCTATACCTCTCCCTAAGGAGCTCTGGTAGCATAGTGGTTACGAATTGGGCTGCGAACCTCAAAGTCAGCAGTTCGAAACTACCAGTGGTTCCGTGAGAGAAAGATGTGGCTTTCTGCTCCCGTAAAGATTTACAGCCTCAGAAACCTTGTACAGGGTCGCTACGAGTCGGAACCGACTCCGTGGCACATAACCACAACAACAACATACCTCTCCCTCCTTGTCACCAAAATGTTCCTCAAAAACAAAGTCAAGCAGAAAGACACTGTTCTACATCCTACTTTGGTGAGTAGCAACTGGGGTCTCAGAAGCTGGTGAGCAGCCACCTAGGGAAGACGCAGCTACTGGTCTCTCCCTATCCGGAGCAAGTAGTGGGAAAATCAAAGATTCAATGAAACAATCAGCCTCCATGACCCAGACCAGATCTCCATGGGCTCAGCGACCACTACCAACAACCCTGATCGGACCACAGCAGAAGGTCCTGGATAGAGTGGGACAAAAAAATACAGGGCACTGAAAATAAAGAAAGAGAGACCAGACTTTATGGTCTGACAAAGATGGGTAGAACCCCTGAGACGGTGGCCGTGAGATCCCCTTCAGGCCTGAACCCTCCGCAGCCCCCTGGTAACTTTCAGTGACACTAAAGACAGGCCTGTGAACTGAACACTATTACCCAGGAGACACGGGCACCTCAGAACAATTCAGCACAGGAGACCAAAAGAGCAGCATCTGCCCCCAAATCAAAGCTCATAAGGCTGGAGGGGCCGGAAAGAAAGACCAACGGAAACAGGCAACTCCGGGAGGCAGTTGTCACATGGAAGCACTGGTACATGGAGGGACTGCAGCAGGGTCACAGAACACGTACAAATGGTTGAGCACAAAACCAATTTGCTCTGTAAACTTTCACTCAACCCCAATAAAACATTTCTAAAGAATAAAAGTACTAAAGCAGTATTCTACATCTTTTTGTATTGTGATACTAAGGGGGGAAAAGGAATAAGAAGCAAAGCGGATGTAATGACCTGTAGGTTCTCTCTTCCCCCAGCTCCTACTTCGCTCTGTAAACACACACCAAACCCACAAATGGCTCTGCCACTTTCATAACCAATGGGGTGTTCTCTTCTTCACAAACCAATGACGTCAGGTCAAAACTGCCAAATGAACGCACTAAGCATTTCCCTAAATTGGAGTCAAGCTTAATCAAGACAGATACCTATGCTTACTAGCCAAATGAAAGAGAAGTCTAACCCGTGAAATGCCACGTCCCTTCCCCACGAGGCCTCACCTGCTGGCGTTGACGTCAGAGCCGTGGAGAGTGTGAGCCCACTGGCTGAGGTAGAGGCGATGGGCAGAGCGAATGGTGTGGCAGACGCTGCAGGCTTGTTGAAGCCTAAGCTGAAACCTGTAGTAGATGCAGACGTAGTGGCTGGTGCTCCTGTTTAAAGCAAACACTTTTTTTCAGCATTAGGAGAACCGACGGCCAACTAAGAGTTACATGAAGAGGCTTCAAAAAGTTCGTGGAAGAATGGTGTGGAAACATAATGCAGTTTTTCTAAGAACTTTCTGAGGCTCCTTCATAAGTATATTCTACCAAATTTCAATCAGGATCCCTAAGATTTTGTGTTCCTACTTTCTGTAGTTAGGACAAAAAGGTATGCAACTGCATATATGTGAGGGGGGAGGGGGAAAAAAATATATATATATATATACGTATAAACTGGGACTCAATCATGGTGAATATTTTAAAAATTGCCCTTCAGGTTAAGAAACAGTGATATTCCAATTCAGTTTCAATTCTACTGCTACATTTTCCCAAAACCATTTAATGCTCTTCCTTCCATCTCAGGAAAAAAAAAAAAAAAATGTCCAAGACCATCTAACTGCCCACGTCTACATTTTCTCCTCCTATCAGCAGCTCCCGTCCTGCCCACGCCCACATTCTCCTCCCATCAGCTCCTGTCCTGCCCACACTCACATTCTCCTCCTCCTATCAGCTCCTCTCCTGTCCACGCCCACATTCTCCTCCTATCAGCTCCTGTCCTGCCCAAGCCCACATTCTCCTCCTCCTCCTCCTATCAGCTCCTGTCCTTTTCATCTCATCACCCTTTTCTTGTAGACTTTTGCCGGCTTCCTTTGCTCACTTCCCACGTGATCTTGTCCAGCGGTCCAGCTCAGCTCCTTCAAGGAATGCTCCATTCACTTGCACAACTTAAATTGCGGGTCCAAGAGGCTAGGTCTGGAGCTCCCCAAGTCCCCCGCTTGCTATCTCTACCTCGATGTCCCTATGGAGCCCTAGATGTCCTGAGGTGAATTATCTCACCCCACAAAAACAAAAACAAAACAACCTGCCTAGAGTCCCCATTTTCAATTCAACTGCTCAAGCCAGAAGCCACAGCCACCCGTAAATTCTGCTTCAGAAGTGCCCCTGGACTCGGAGCCGCCTCAAAAACCTTACTGCCGGTCCTCCCCGCCTCCACAGTTGTAATAGCTTCCTCATCTGTAGTAATGTCATCAGTTTTTCCACTTTAATACACCTCTGGACTTACCTCAATTGTCTTTTAAAAAGGACACCTTTACTATCTGGTCCCAACCTGCTCCTACAACCTCATTTCTCCTTGCTTCCTAAACCCCAGAATAAAACACTGTCCAGATTTTGCTGATCTCTTTGAAGAGCAGGACTCTTCACTTTCCACTTCTCTGTGTGAATGCTGCTTCCTGTCCACAGAATCCTCTGCCTTCCATGGTGCCCTTCAGACATGTGTGAGGGCACTGGCCAGCTCAACACACCCGCAGGGTCTGGATGAGAGAGACAGAGCCTTCCTGATGCACTCAGCACCACCCACTGTGCTGGAGATTTGAGACACATCTGCTCGTTTACTCGACACCAGGATCATTACTATCTTATACAGGAGGACACGACTTAGCGGGAACATGCAACTTAACCCAAGGCCACACAACTGGGATGGAGTAGCTGCTCAAAAAGTACAGAATGGGTGGATAAATACATTGATTTGGGCTTTCCCTGAAGTCACTGAGACGAAAGAAGCCTGAAATGATGCTTCTCTATGGCTCTGGCTCTGAACGACAGGCAGTTCCAGATGGAGTGCAGTGCTTTGAGCTCAGGCCTGGATTCTACAACAAGCTCAGTAAACAAGAGGCCAGCTGCAAGCCCCTGTGGCCAATTCCGTCTGTAAGTAACTCCAGTGATGAACAGACGCACTGTGTTTTCTGTTGACAACTGGTGGGGAGCATCCAAGTGAAGAAAGCCTGCCAGGTTCCTCATGTCCTTTCATCTCTCATTAATTTACTTCCATTCAGATTCAAGACAGGGTAGAGTCCAAGTTATTCACATTCCTTTCAGCATGTCACTGTAGACAAGCTCGGACTCTGAACTAGAGGAAGGCATCCTGGTGTGGTACCAGAGGATAAACAATCGACCTCAAAGTTGGTCTAAATTGCTAGGTCGGCAGTTCAAACTCACCAGCCACTCCTTGAGAACCCTATAAAGGGTCACTATGGTTCCGAACTGGCTCGACGACACTTAATATCAACAACTAAGAGCCCTTAGATGTCACATGACTATCTCAGGTGTCACACTATTTAGAGGAAAAGCTAGGCTCTCTCCAAGACTTCTAGTTGGCACTTTTCACCCAGCAAAGGGCTCTCCTATCTCGTGACCAAAAACAATGTAGACTAAATTTCCACAGGAAAACTCACCTCGCTAGCTATTTTATTTTTAAACTTAAAAGGGGCCATCTATATTCACTGTTGTTGTTGTTAAGTGCCATCGAGTCGGTTTCGACCCATAGCGACCCTGTACAGGGTTTCCGAGGGTG